TCAGATAGGAGAGCAAATGACAAGGTACTATACCTACCATAATAGATTACGTATTACATAATATAATCAATTTTACAGTGCTTTCCATCTGATAGTAATGCTATTCATGTCCCTTGACTATGGTCAGAGGGAATTCACTAAAGGTTTAATCTTACCAATATGTGGACCCTGCAAATGGATATTGGTCGTCTGCTGTCATCCTTCTGCAAACCAGGTGTTAACAATTTAAGCTGATACCCTTCCCGCCTTCAGATTTGGATTATATTCCTTACCAATCCTTTGATCACACAGACTGATGTTGTTCTTCTTCCATGTGGATTTAGTTGACACCTCACATAGATGGCGGCTTGTTTGAAGATAAGACACCAGAAAAGAAAAAAAAAGACACTAGAAGATACTCTTTCTGACAAGCAGGCATCGTCTAGTTTCTTCGCTATATTTTGCTATAGCACCCATATCTTCAGTGATCTCTTTATGAAGGCAGACATCAAGCAGGACCATGTGATAAGAATCAATTGTTCTTAGATTGGGGCTAGAATTAAGTGCAAACCTCAAATCCATTCCTATATCTCTGGTTTTTATGTCTCTGGTTCCTTGTTGTTTTCTGTTAGAGAACATTTCAATCATCTCCCTGAGGCATAAGATAATTCTATTGAGAGCGTCATTAAGGTAGCCAATAGTATAGAATTTAAAATAAAATTGAGAAAAGGAAATTATACAAGCATAGGTTGTCTACAAACTACAATACATGAATTGTTGACTTATACAGATTAAACTCTTAAGTGACTGGACACTACACAAACAATGGGGGTTGGTGATAGCAAAACTTTCAATAATATTTTCATTTACAGTGGCAGAATCATGCCTAAATACATATCATAATAAAGCAAGAAGGGCATTAAAATAGTATATGATCATCCTGGCCCACCATTCATTGGACACCGTCAAGCAATCTGAACCAAAAATCCAGCCACCAGTTTTATAGCCGTGGGACAGCAGTCACCTGGTTTTCTCACAGCAGTGAGTTTCAGACTTATGTACAAGTGCTACAGGTAAGTTTGAGGTAGGGTTAGTAGGGTTTCCACATCGAATCCTTTTGATGTATCTTTTGGATACACAAGGCCCTTAAGAGAATAATACAATGATGTGAACCAGTGTATCACTTGATCAGGACTGGAAGGGAATTTGAAGTTAGTCCAAAGGTTACTTTTGAATCAAGTTTGAAAGACTTAATGTATTTTCTTACTGCTTTACAAAAAAATTTTTTTTAGCTTTTTTGTGTGTGACAAAATCAACAATAGTGCCTACAAATTTGTCTTTAGAAAATATTATTTGCAAGTAAACAAAGTAGAGAATATTGATTTATATCTTCTCTGAATAGTTATTTGAGTATATATTAAGAACTTTATCTCTCAGTTCCTTACTCTCAGAATACTTTTTCCATACTCTTTTTTTTATTTTATAAAATATATTTTATTTATTTTAAATCATTTTATTGGGGACTTGTACAACTCTTATCAATCCATATATACATCCATTGTGTCAAGCACATTTGTACATTTGTTACCCTCATTATTCTCAAAACATTTGCTTTCCACTTGAGCCCTTGGTATCAGTTCCACAGTTTTCCCCTCCTTTCCTGTCACCCCCTCCCTCATGAACCCTTGATCATTTATAAATTATTATTATTTTGTCATGTCTTACACTGCCCGACGTCTCCTTTCACCCACTTTTCGGTTGTCCATCCCTCAGGGAGGAGGTTATATGTAGATCCTTGTAATCGGTTTCAGAATACTTTTCTAATCACTTATCTGTTAAACATAGAAGAGGACTTTTATTGATGTTTCTTCATTAGTTACAGAGGAAAAACATTGTATGTTTTCTTTGTGAGGCAGTGGTTTATAACATACTCTGGAAACACAAGAAAAAGTATAGGATCTTGTCTTTTGTTAATTACTTTATTCATTAGTTGAACCATATCATATTGCTGATATTTGACAGTTTAAAAAATTATTAATCATTTTATAGGGGGGCTCTTACAGATCTTATAACAACCCATAATTATTATAATTCAGTTGTATTAAGCACACTTATACATATGTTGCTATCATGATTTCCAAAACATTTTCTTTCTACTTGAGCCCTTAGTGTCAGCTTCTTTTCTTTCCCCTCCCTCCCACCCTCGTAAATCCTTGATCAATTATATATTATTATTGTTATTTAATATCTTACACTGCCTGTTGTGTCCCTTCATCCACATTCTATTATTTATCTCCCTGGCGTGTGTTATATATCCAACCTTGTGATCAGTTCCTCCTTTCTCGCCTGACCCCCATCCTCCCTTTCCCTTCATGTATTGTGTATTTTTTTAGTGCTTTCTACATGTTTATAGATTTTTCCACAGTGGTCAGAGTAATATAGATCATACAGTTAGTGCTCATAAAATATTAGTTGATTTTTCTTTTTTTGTATTAATAAATCATTTTATTGGGGTCTCTTATAGCTCTTGTAACAATCCATACATCAATTGTATCAAACACATATGTATATATGTTGCCATCATCGTTTTCAAAACATTTTCTTTCTGATTGAGCCCTTGGTATCAGCTCCTCTTTTTTCCTTCCCTCCCTCCCCTGGCTCTCCCACCCACGCGGACCACTGATAAATGATTATTATTTTCATATCTTACACTGTCCACTTTCTCCCTTTGCCCATGTTTCTGTTGTTTGCCCCCCTCAGGGATATATGTATTTATATCGATCATTATAGTCTAAGATGGCCAGATTTTAACATTGGTAAAATGGGACATCAGCAGGACACTATTGATAAAACTCATATCCTGGCGAAATAGCCACATGGCAGCCGAAAACCATATGTCCTAGCTTGTCGTGCATTCTTTCCAAAAATCGGGACTGTCCCACCAAAAGTGGGACGTCTGGTCACCTTATAGTCTGTTCCCCCATTTCTCCCCTTTCTGCCCCCACCTTCCTCCTGCCCTCATGGTATCACTATTCCCATTACTGTTCCTGAGGGGTTTATCTGCCCTGGATTCCGTGTGCCTAGTGCTCTTGTCTGTACCAAAGTATATACAGTATTTCAGTCTAGCCAGATTTGTAAGGTAGAACTGGGTCATGATAGTGGGGTGGGGAGGGGCATTAAAGATCTAAAAGAATGTGTGTTTCCTTGGTGCTATACTGTACCCTGGCTCGTCCCTTCCTTGTGACCCTTCTGTGAGGGGATGTCCAAATGTCTACAGATGGGCTTTAGGTCTCCACTCTGACCCCCATCGTTCACATCGATCTAATTTTTTGTTTTGGATCTTTTGATACCTGATACCTGATACCTGATCCCGTTGACACCTTAAAATCACACAGGCTGGTGTGCTTCTTCCATGTGGGCTTTGTTGTATCCCTGCTAGATGGCCACTTGTTTAACTTCAAGCCTTCTAAGACCCCAAACACTATATCATTTTATAACCGGGCACCACCAGTTTCCTTCACCACATTTGCTTATGCACCCGCTTTGTCTTCAGCAGTTGTGTCTGGAAGGTGAGTATTACAGAATCCTGGGTTATTAGAACAAAGTGTTACTGTGTTTAGGGAGCCCATGAGTAGACGCCCAAAGTCCATCTGCTATCTTAGTACTTAACATATAAATATATGTACATTGACCTGTATCCCTATCATTATAAATTAACATATATATGTATATATGCCTATACCTTTACCTCTATAAATGTCTTTTGCCTCCTAGTTCTTTCCTTTATTTCCTGTCACCTTTCTCCTGTCCCACTATTATGTTCATCGTCAATTTGGCTCTCAGTAATTCCTCTTGGATACATTGCACTTGATCAAAACCCACCAGGCATTCTATGTGCTCCTTGCTATCAATTTTAGATCTTTTGTTCTTCCCTTGTCCCTGAGTTTGTCATCTCCCCACTCCCCCTCCCTACCCCCTCCTCTCCCATGTCCCCCTGGAACCACCGGTCCTGTTGTTTTCTCCTTGGGATTGTTTATCCTGCCTATCTCATATAAATAGACATAGAATGAAAGAAAGAAAAAAAAGCAAAACAAAAACAAGTAAACAAACAAAAAAATCCTGATAAATATTTCCAGGTCTGTTTTCTGACTCTTATGGATGTTTTCTGATCAAGTCTGATGAGGTGCCAACCCGTCTCCTGAGTCAGAAATCTATTTTCAGAATTCCTCATGGGATTTTGTTTCTTTGCTGCCCTTGCTGCCCTATTGCACTCCCTTCGTGCATCTCCCCCCTGTGCATGGGGCAGACCGGGCACACTTTCCACACAGTGTCTCCAGTATTGTCCCCCATAGCATTGTGGGTCAGTGAGCGGATGTCATGTCTTTTGGGGCTGGCCCTCCCGTCCTCTCTGTGCATTGTCTGCTCCTAGCAGGGATGTCGTCCTTGGGGCTTGGTGGGCCATGATGAGGTCTACTCTCTTTCTTTCTCTTTGCCTCTTAGTTTGTGCCAGTGTGGTCTGAACAGACCTGCCACTTTCCCCAGGCTACATCTTCAGTGCTGTCCTCTGTATTATATTCTTCTGGGGAGGGGGGTCAACATAGGTATTTTACAGTTTTTTATCATAAAAAAGCCACATAATTTGATTTACCTTAGTTGTTGGAGAGCACAGTAGTTTCTAGAAAAACCCAAGTAACCACATAGACATGAAATTACCAGTTAAGACTCAGACACTAAATAGTGCACGAGTTTGAATGAGTAAAGATATTACTTTGACTGAGGAAGATGGGAAAGTTTTCATTGACTCAATTGCCAGCTTTGATCTCTAATCAGTTAATCTATTGAATATTCTTTTTTTGCTTGCTGTTTATAATTGTATGTACTTGGAAATCCTAGGAGTCTTCATGTGAATCATTGACAAAACCAGTGCTATGGTTCTGCTAAATTGTATTATCAGGGAATCCTTATATTTTTAATATGATGGACCTTCATGATTAATTTAGATTTCTTCTTTGTGCCTGCAGGGCCCATGCAGAATCTCAACCATCAGTGAACAACCAGAAGACTGAAGGGAAGAGTAATGGTGAAGGAGAAGTTTATCACCATGAAAAAAAGGCTGCAGATACTAGTCTTGAGCCTTATTCAGAAGAGAAGAAGAAGAAACGTTCTGGATTCAGAGACAGAAAGGTATGGGGAAAGCTTGTAGGTTAATCAGAACAATAGTTAATTCTTAAATAGAATAATGTCATTTAGTCTCTTTTATCATGTATTTCAGATTCACATCTTTGCTGTTTTTACATGGTATGAACCATAGCTTCTGTTGGAATGTGAAGCTAATGGGGGAAGTAGTGAAAAGGTTTTAGAATGAATAACCAAGATTAACATATTCTTTCTTAATTCTAACTACCTAAGGAAACTTCTTTTCTTTTTTTTCCCTTACTTTTTTTTTTTAATCAATTTATTGGGGCTCATACAATTCATCACAATACATAGATCAATTGTGTAAAGCACATCTATGCATTCGTTGCCCTCATTATTCCCAAAATTCGCTTTCCTCTTGGGTTCCCAGAATCAGCTCATTTTCCTTTTTTCCCCTCCCCCTCCCTTCCTCCTCCCCTCAGAAACTTCTTTTTTATATCTTTATGATGCTAATTATTATATATGCTGAGTCTTTGTAGCATTTTTTTTTATGATGCTTAGTTGTAAAGGGAGAATAAGATCTCTTTGGAGATGTACATACTGCCACAAACTAAAACTGAGGTCAGGGCAGCATACATTTCAAATGAATGTCAACATTTAAAAAAAATCATTTTATTGAGGGCTCGTGCGGCTCTTATCACAGTTCATACATACATCCGTTGTGTCAAGCACATTTGTATATGGGTTGTCACCCTCATTTTCAAAGCAAACATTTTTTACTTGAGACCTTGGTATCAGCTCCTCCTTTTTTTTTTTTTGACAGCATTTTATGTCATTAACACAGTGTACTTTTATGTAGTAGCTTAATGTCAGAAAAACCTCACTACTATTATGGTATCTGTGATATTTGAATTCAGAAAATATGAGAGATGAAAGATCAAAAGGATACATTTTTTAAAGACAGTTTTACATATTAAGGTTAAAATTCAGGGGTTTGCCTTCAGTTTCTAAACTCCTAACAATGCAAAGTCATTGGAATGATTTCTGTGGTGGCTGTTTATATTTGTAAGAAGTCCTTGGAGGGATTTGGACTTTATTTCTTTTTTTATCTTCTTGAATGATGTTGTTAAATATGTCTGTCTTCCCCCAACTCCCTATCTGATTGAGATGACTTTGAACAAAAGTTGTGGATCTCATCAAGTTAGTCAGTCATTAAGTGTCCTGGTGTTTCCACAAAGATACATATATGTTCTTTTGACCCAAGTGAATTAAAAGAAAGTTCAGCTTTTACTTTGTGAGTAGTTTTATGTACAACTTTGCATTTTACAAACCGGAGCTAAAATAATCCAAAATTAAATATTTGATTGTGAACCTACTTGAACTGTTCATATCTTCTGCTCAGTAGTTGGCCATGTCTCATACTTCACAGTATGAGCTATCAGTATAATAAAGCTATCAGTATAATTTCTTGCTTTCTACTTTTAATAGCTATAAAATAAATCTGTGTATGAAATAGTTTCATTAGCCTCAAAAGAAGACTTTATGTGTACTCCTCCCCAAACCCATTCCTTTCCCTTCCTCCTTAGGTAAAACCCTATCCTGCAGTGCTACTT